AAACCATTTCAGGTGACTACCTCTTGAAGCTCATGGAGAGAATGCCAAGAGTGTGCAAAGCAGTAATCAGAGCAAAGGGTGGCTATTTTGAAGAAACTAGAATATAAAACATGTTTTCAGTTATTTCACCTTTTTTTGTTAAGTACATAACTCCACATGTGTTCATTCATAGTTTTGATGCCTTGAGTGAGAATCTACAATGTAAATAGTCATGAAAATAAAGAAAACGCATTGAATGAGAAGGTGTGTCCAAACTTTTGGCCTGTACTGTATATATATATATCTTCTCCATTAACGTTACTTAGCAAGAACTTAACTTTTTCTTAAACTTTGACTTACAGTGGGCTGCTTGGTCGTCGCTAAAATAATAATAAAAAAAACATTCACTCACCTTGTCTGTCAGCTAGCAGTATCTTGTCTTCGTGTCAACTGAATTCAAGTTTTCCGCGTTCTGCCGATACATCAGATAAATTCCTGCGTGTCATTTCAAAATAAAAGCTGTCTGGTGTTTTAATATGTTTACCATGCTGATGGGGCTTCTTCTATTTTTTTCTCTTTGAATTTTTACCGAGGTCCGGACCTCGATGACCTCATAGCTGGCTACAGCCATGCTGAGGGCGTGTATAGTTTCAAACATGTTTACAGCAGCTCAGATGTGCTGCAAAGAGCACATGATGTCTCCTTTTAAAATTAATTCACATTTCTGGACATGTTAATAGTCTGACAGCCTCTGTGTTTCCTTATGTTATAAAGTGCATACTAATTTGGCGGCACAATGATCCATACATTAACCATATGGAGCTAAATACAGCCATAATGCCATAGGCAAAAAAACAAAATATGGTCCAGTGTTTTGCATGTTGTATTTCTTTCTTTTTTTTCTGTTTATTTTATTTACATTTGACTAGTTACAGTTGTCTATTCAATCCTGATGTTGCCATATGATCTGGCAGTATGTTGCATTAGCGGGTACGCACAAACTCACAATCACTCATATACTAGGCGGTTACAGGGTGCTTTTGGGTGAAGACAAGGGTAGACTATTGATAGGCACTGAAAGTTATCACACCATCACAGGCGAGGAAATGACCTCAGGAAAATGTCAGTTTGCCAGTGCAGAGCTACACTCCTTGCCATGCTCTTGTGCTACGACCCAGCTCTGAAAGGGAAAGGGAAAATACATAAGGCCTCTCAGAGAGCCCCTAACTTAGCCTAAACATTTTTAGTAAGGAGACCTGGCTTAGGAGTGATTTAGAAAAGCAACTTTGAGCAAGGAAGAGACAGAAACTTTTACCTTATTGAGGAGGTGTTGTTGACCCCGTTGCTAGGTATGTTGCATTCTTTTAACAGATGTGATTGGTTGTGACAGACACACCCTTTGTGAGCCTGAAAGGTGTGGACACACCAGTGGGAAATTAAACAAACTGCTGATTGTGAAAGTGGTCTCATTGTTAGTGTGATCACTCTGCTGATGGAAGGTTGAGACAAACCCAAGTCATTACTGCTGCACTTCTGCATTTTTCCAGTTTTCCAAATATCTTAGTTATTGTGATTATTTTCATTTCTGGCATTATATTGTTAGGTGGGAGGTGTGTATATCAAAATCACGTAGGAAAAAGCGAGCACTCTCAAAAACTAAATAAACTCGCAAGGTGCATGGCCAAAAACAGTTAAAAATGGAAAAAACGCCATCACTCTCAAATGTCCTTTTAGTTCAGTTTAATAATCCAGCTTGGATGGCAGTACCAGTACACAGACGTTTCGACAGTAAAGTCTTCTTCAATGTGAAGAAGACTTTACTGTCGAAACGTCTGTGTGCTGGTACTGCCATCCATGTGTAGTCAGATTTTGGAAGCTGTACCTTGCCCAGTCCCAAGTACCTCATCCTAAAGTTAAATAACCAATAAACATACATCATCTTGAAACATGGTGCCTCTATAATCAGGATCCCCGGCTCATCAGACAGGAAGCGAGGGGTGGGGTTGGGCAACAACTCAGGAGGTGGAACCAATTAGGTGCAGGGGACCACATATCCTAGTGGCACACATATCGAAATACTACAAAGAAGTCTAGACACATGGGGAGGGTGTCAGCTGTGGCAGTAACAGCCTGCAAAAAATAAAGCCTTATATGTTGGTTACACTTTGTTACATGGCCCAGAGAAGTAAATAGACAGAGCAAGACTCTAACACTTCCTGAAGGATTCATGTGTGCATCCATTTGTGTGTGTGTGTGTGTGTGTGTGTGTGTGTGTTTGTGTGTCTTCAGACCCTGTTATTTTAGGCGTAGTTGCTGCTCTTCTGATTTTTGCTGTCGGGTTCCTGATGAGCTCCATGTTCTGCCTCCACTACACTGGATTCCTCTGTAAACTGAAGGCAGCTCTGCCCAGAGTGCTCATTGTAAGAAACTTGTCTGTCTGTCTGTCTGTCTATCTATCTATCTATCTATCTATCTATCTATCTATCTACCTATCTATCTATCAGAAAGTAGGCAGGGTTTGAACATTTCTTCTTCGTTCTTTACACTAATTCTGTCACCTTTTGACTCGCACTTGAGAGCAACACCTTGAATACCATTCACAAACAGTACAAATACCTAAGACCTTAGACTAATTTGCTCTAAGCATAGTGACTCCTGAACTATCTCAGCCTCATAGTGTATATCTGGATCGTCAAATAGCATCTGTGTGCAACAATTTTTGCAGTTTTCCAAAATTGGCAATGCCTTATACTAGGGTTGCAGCAGTATACTTGGTGGCATACCATGGTGTAAAAAATACTATGTGCAGCCGGACCGAGAATCTCACCTGCACATCTCCTGTCCTCCTTAACTATTTTACACATACTTCAATTAAAAAATGCTTTCTAGTTTAAATATTAAAACAGTGTTTGTTCAAACAAAAATACACTTTTATTTTCATTGATTTAAGGGTCATTGTTACTGATAATAATAGCTGTGTAATACGATATATGCTGAAACCATGATATTTTCCAAGAAGCCTATAGTACCGTGAGAATCTCATACTGTTGCAACTACTTCATACTCTGACAGTGTACAGATTGATACCACAGCTTTTTGTTGGTGAATCACACTTGGTGAACTGCTGGAGAAACTGCAGCTTCAATTAAGCCCTCAAGTTTCAAACTGAACATTTGCTGCCTTAGATCACTCCCAGCACCATAATTTGATTTGGCTGAATAGACGATACCCTAGTGTGTTACACAGGGTCGGTGCATCTTTGAGTTGGGATATCTATTATACTGTGTCACTGTCATCTTCCCCAACTTCTCCTCCCTCCCTCTGTCTCTTTGTTCCCTCTTTGCTCCTATAGGAGGCTCTAAGCCAAGGCTACACCCTGACACCAGAGAGGACAGTCCCTGACAAAATCTGCATTAGCATAGAGACTGAGAAACAGAGAAGGCACAACAATCCCACAACTCCACAACCTGCCACCAAGGGCACTAACTCTGATGAGGAGGATGAAGAGGAGGAAGAGGAAGGGGTCAACGTCTACATGGAAAGAGATGCAGAGCTTTCCTCCCTTGACAGTTCCTGCCAGGACTCTATTGATGTGTTGTGTGTGAGCAGTAAAGTAGCTGCTTCAGGGAACTCTAGGGGTTTGACTGTGGAGGCTGAGGTGCCGGACACAGAGTTTGAGGTTGAAGTCACACATGGGGGGTTTGATCAAGATGGGGCCAAAGCTGAAGATGCAGATGTTTCTTTCATGCCTGAGGGTCACACTGGAGTCAAGGAACATGTCACAGATGAGGTGCAAGAGGAGGAGGAAGATAAAGAGGTAGTGTGTGACAGCTCATGCAATATCAATTTGTTCTCAGTCACCCTCGCTGCATTGACTGTAAGTGAGGAAGGGGAGGAGCAAGAGTCGCAGAATACAAGTGAGTCTCACACAGACTTTTTGAAACTCTCTGATCTGGAACTTCTAATGCCCTCAGACTCAAAACAGACCTCAAGGCACACAGATTCACAGACTGAGTCAGATCATCAGACAACTATGGCACTAATGCTACCTACACAAAACTTTACTGCAGCTGGCTATGAAGGCAGATGTGCAGCCACTTTGTCTGGCTTTCTCAAAACCTGTGATGGTGTGAGACAGCATGAAGAGACAAAAGAGGAGGGGGAGGAAGAGGAGGAATTCTCAGGATACATGGCACACACATGATGTGTTGCTATATTTGTATGAGTATCAATAATGAATTAATTCCCAGCAAGTGCATTCCTTTTTATTTGAGGAAAATTCCAACAGAAGAATTTAAATGTAACTGCCTTTTCACCCTACTGAGGTTGAGAAGAAGGTACGGGTACACCTGGCAGGACTGAGAGGCTCAGGAGGAGCTTCTACCCTCAGGACACAAAGATACTGAATGATGACTGCTTTATCCTAAACATTAACATTTATTCATTTCTACCACTAGGAAATATTGAAGAAACTGACAACTATTCATTTTACTGAAATCATATTTTATGATTTCATGTAACAAATAAAATTATTGATTAAGTTGTTGGCATAACCTATTTATGTCTTGTAAAGAGCATTCTTGTTTACATCCAAGTCATAATTATGAGAGTTATGAAAGTTTGAGAGCTCAGATGCATCAGGTAACAGCCTGAAAAGTCAAACAAACACCTACCTACCTACCTTATGGTAGACAATGTTGTTTAGTTATGATATGGTTATCTAATTATTTTTCATAGTAGACATTTTGACCTGTCAAAGCACGATAAGTGCAGCCATTATTAATAACATTAACAATATCCATGGGTCCCAGTAAGCATGAAGGTGACGCAACATTCACATCACCATTTTAGGGTAACTGAAGCAAATCAATGGAATTCAGTCAACATTTCATTGATTACACCTGTGCTTTTGTTTTGTTAAAAAGGCATATTTTAAATCCTTCAGTCCAGCTTCAACTCTGCAGTTAAGCAACCATATCTAACAGTGTAAATACTCACAAGTTCCAAAAATAGGAATCTATTCCATCCCTACAATCCATGTCCATTCAGTATGATCTGAATGTGGCCCTTCTTTTGGTCACTTCAGAATAGAGATGGAATAGACCAGTGATACTTAACTTATGCCCTGTGGCTCATGATAGAGTGCTTGCCTTGGACTGTAAAAATAATGGAAGTAGCTACCATGATGTCGTCCATTGGTTTATGGACTCCTGTTTTAAATCCTGTTTCAGGAATTTTGGGCGTCATAATCTTGTTTTGTTTTTGAGCAAGCAGTGACCATATTTGGGCGAGAGGTTGACACTGTGGAGGACTGAGGGGTGGATTTGTCTGAGAGGCTGGCATGGTAGCTACTTTGACTGAGAGGCTGAGGGGTGGATTTGACTATTGGCGGACAGCCTGTCACTCAAAGCAGCAGGCCCTTAATTATGTGTAACTTTAAGCCTCGATAAAATGTAAACAGGTGAGTTATTAAAAAAAATAACCCCTGTACAGTTGTTATGAAGGGGGAAATTAGCTTTAGAGGCCAAAATCGTCTTTTGTACCAGGCTGTAAACATGTATTTCTGCTGTAAAGTTTGGCATTTTAACATGGGGATCTATGGTGATTGAGCCAGCCTGGAGTGGCTGTTCAAGGAAGTGCAGTTTTTTTATGGCATTTATGTGTTGGCTTCATTTTTTTAGCCCAGAAGGTTGCCACTTGGTGCTTGCTGGCTTGCTGACCATTTTCTAAATTACAATGAAAATAAATTGTTTCACACTGGGATTTTTTTGTACTTTGTTTGTAAATTAGGTGCTGGAATGCATCAAAAACATCAAAATAGAGCACGTATATTTATTTAAAAAAATGCCAAAGGGGGATCTTAATATCTATAAATCCTAGAAAGGCCCCTGCATACACCTGACCTGTACAGGAGCCTGTATCACGAAGCAAGATCAACCTTTCCTGGGTTACCCAGACCTATCCTGGGTTGACTAACCCTAACGATGGCAATCAGGATAATCGGTATCACGAAGCTGGATATCAACTCGGTAACTCAGTGTTGCTTTATCAAGAGCTGTGAACGCGCACGCAGCGGACCAATCACAATCATGAGAGAAGCGCAGCGTCACAGAGCGTCACTGAGCGTCCTCACAGAGCGCCGTATGTGAGGGAGAAAAAAGTATTTCTCGTGAGGATCAGAGATTAATTCTACTAAAATATGAGGAGAAGAAAAGCAACATTACAGAAAAGGCCACACCGTGGCAGCTGCAGGAGGAGGAAACGTGTGGCAACGCATAACGGGATGAATAATGTTTTTTTAGTTTAGATTAGTTTATTGGCACATAATGTTAAAAACAGACAGTATAAAATTTACAAGATTAAAAAAAGAAAAGTGCCGGAGAGGTTAGAAGCCACTAAAAGCTTATCAAAGAAATTCCCCTGTCAAAACATCAATGAAATCACATGATAGAGAAGAAAAAAAAACGAGTCAGGAAAGAAGAAACAGGAGGAGAGAGGGAAAAATCAAGATAAAACAAGGTAGCAAATAAAATTATGTGTAGGTTAAATTACTCATCACTGGTTCAAGTAGCTACAGTACCACATCTGACACTGATCACACCCTTGAATCCCATGAAATCCATGCTGCGCAGATGAATTGCGTGTATTACAATTATCGTCTAATATCATTGTGTCTGATAAATTGGTCTTCTTTGTCATAACGTTATATATGCTACAATAAAGCTTTAAGCTGACGCCACAATTAAATCATATCAACACCAAATTGTTAGTCTGAATAAAATCATCCTGATATTGAGCTGTGTTAGAAATTAACAGCTGCGCAAAAATATACCTAGTCTCCCTCTTTAAAAAACAAAAAGGAAAATCCCTCAAACACCATGAAGTGTAGACATATAGGCTACTTTCCACATTTCCAGCAGCAAAGCTGTCAATTAGGCCCATTATCTTTAACAGGGATCATTTCCTCCAACAAAACAAAATGTTGGCACTAATATATTAAGTGTCCGCAAATGATCAGTTTCTTTCTTATGAAGGGGTGAGATGAAATTTTGACTTCTTTCCACTCCTTTTTGAACAATCTTTTCATTGTCTGTTGTTGTTGCTTTCTTTTCTTTTTTAATGTTCAAAATAAACTTTCAAATCAAAATCAATCAAATGAATTAAACTTCCCATCATGACTGGACTGCATTTCTGTCAGCGGAGTCATTTTTTTCCGAACAGCTGATTAGCCAGTGGGTGGTGCTTTTTATAGGATCAGATTCAACCCTGAACTTACCCTGCTCCGAAGCAGGATAGCCGTTCAGAGTAAGTTACCATGGTGATCTACCCCGATAAGAACTGAACCGGCTTCGTGAGACCGAAAACCCAGGGTTAACCCTGAAGTTACCTCGCTAAGACATTAATCCTGCTTCATGATACAGGCCCCAGGTCTGCTGCTACTGGATTTGCCTTGTTTTTGTTTTTTCATTTCATTTGATAAATATTAGCCTATTGTTTGTTTATTAACCCCCTGGCCTCCTGTCATTTTGCAGTAGTGGCCCCAGAGCAAAGCTAAGGACCCTGGTGTAGACCTAAGTGCTGTCAGCGACAGGAGGCCCAGAAGTGGAGCTTTTTGCCGTTATTTGAAATCATGTAAGTGTGTACTGTGTTCCAGTAGGTCACCTGATTTCCTATCAACACCCTCCTCAGATGCTGCCTTCAAATACCGCCGGACAAATTGAAATCACCGCTGCAGCCAGCAAATTTTTCTATTCCCAGGATGGCGAAGGCATGACCCGCCCCACTCTCCCACTGAATGGCTAGTTCCCCTTGCCTTCTTCGGTTGTGTTGGTAATGTTTAGACAAGAGGAGTGAGATTGGTCAGGGTTAGTGTGGAGAATGTAAGGGTAAGCCAATCAGAGGCAGAGTAGGGCAGGTCATGCCTTCACCATCCCAAGGAAAAAGTACCTGGGACTTGGAAAAACCTGGAAGACCCATGGAAAAATCCCAAAGGGCGCAAAAGACCTTTATGAGCATTTTTTTTTCTGTGATGAAGGTGCGGTCTGGTCACCACCGGTCAGCTGGCGTTTATTTTATTATTATTTCTATTTATTTGTTATTGGTCATCTCACACTACAACAACAACAGACTAATTTGTTTTGTGTCGCATTTTTATGTTGTATATTATGGCTGAACAGACAAAGTTACAATTTATCTGCAAATTAAAACAATCCATAACTGCTAATTGATATTTTATCATTCTTTCTTTAGTATCCAGTCAGTAAGCTAAATGCCACATCGCGCCGTCAAACTGTGTACACGTCTTCAACTAGAAGTCCCTGAAGGCAGCAGGAGCGGCAGTATTCTGTACAGTGGATACATTGTGTTCGTTGCTCTCGACTTTCCTTCTGCAGCTGAGGTTGGTGGCTAAAGATGGCAGGCTTCCCAGGACAGGTAGCTGTAAAATGTTACAAACATGATGTTACAAACAGTATGTTGCTCTTGACCTATTCTGAGTAAATGCTTGCCCGTTAGCTAGCTACTGATAGATACATTTCCGGCGAGTGGGCGTCCCGAAGACGAATATGAAGCATACCGTTTCTGGCTATGGTAACGTTAACGTTAGCGTTAGATAGCGTTATCTGTCTTTAGCATGGTCATTTTGAAAGCGTTCTCTAAAGAAAGTAAATAACATTGAAGTGGATGTTTTAAGCTAACTAAGTCGGGAGGTTAACACAGGCAACGCGAAGGTATTTTGCAACTCACTCACTGACAGTAGTTGCAGTATAAAAGAAAATGGTTATTACCCGAGAACTGTATGCAGTCTGACTCTACTATTATCATAGACTGTGTAGCCTAATATACAGCCTTGGGTATTAACACCTAGGCCTAAGTTAACTTGGCGTAGTATTGCAATTGTTGCAGGTCGTTTCAAAAAGAATAAATGTCAAACATGGTGTCAGTGAAAAATAACTACATGAAGTTTTATACACACTTTATATTCATCACATTAACTAAATTTATTTCACAGACGCTTTTTTTCCAAAGCGAGGTCTAATAACTGCATGGATTTGACATATGACTGGTAGCAGTATTAACTCCAGATTTGTTATGACAGATGTTCATAGAGAAAGTGAAAGCAGCAGCAGAGGCCATAGAAGTGTGGTGACTGCTTGAGAGGCTGATGGCAGTGAAGCTGCCATGGTTTGGCTGTCATGACCGCTCTCATTTGGATGCTCACATGGCTGCCTCAGGTCTTGCCAGGTGAGTACACCGTCACATGATGTGGTGCGTCTGTCTCATAACCCAGAAACCCAGTGACACCTGGAAGCACCTCCTCTGAAGACCACATGTTTGGTCCTTTTAATGGTGACTGACATGAGGCCCAGTTTGAATAAATTATATTTTCTCTATGATGATGATTTAAATATAACGAGCAAACTTAGCAGCACATGAGTTGCTGCTCACTGAGCAGTATAGGCTACACAGCAATTTCAAAAGGTTCAAAAGGTTTTTAGTGTCAATTTGCTGTATGTGCAGGACATACAGAGAAGAGAAATGCTGTTTCCCTCTCACCTAGTATTAATGTCATACAATTTAAGGGCTAAACAAAAGCTAAATTGGAATAAGAATAAAACAATAGAAACAATATATACAAGTAAAAACAAAAATAAAACTAAGCAGTGTAACTAAAAGACAAGACACTCTAGAAGATACTCTAAACCTATGTACAATCACCAGCAATGCTGATAGCTCTACGGGTGACAGAGAATTTATACTTCTGCATTGAATCGACGGCGTAGCTACGCCGTAGGCTCAACATCGACATAGAGCCTATGCCGTAGCCTGATGTGCACCTCCCCAGAATTGTAACTACGTGTCCTGGTGATGCCAACCTCCTGTCTATGTCTGTATACTGACACCATTTCCCTCAGTGGAAACGAAGCTTTACTTTTATTTCACAGATAAGAAACAATAAATTGTGAAGACAGTAAAGCCTCCACTGAAATAGCATTTTAAGTCTTGTGTGTGATTTATCCTTCAGGGATTTATCCAGGTTTCATATGAGAAGAGGAAATCTCTGCTCCCCGCTAGGCTAATTTATACAATGTAAAATGCCATAGGCTGGCGAAAATAACGTAAGCATGTTGTATTTGTTTTCAAAACATGTTTAGTATGACCGTTGTTTCGTCAGTGAATCTTGTGAGTTGTTATGAAGCCAAATTGTGTACCGTTACCTTTTTAAATGTTGCTGTTGTCCCGGGTTTTACACAGGGTTGCGAACTTTGGTCAGAGGGCCGGAGTGAGATTTTACCTTGTGACGTAATATCTGCTTGTGTGTGCGTGGTCATGAATGTATGTGGACATGGTGGCACATTTTTTATTTTTTTTTTAACCTTAAAAGAGTTAATATGCACATGTGGCAAACAGAAGAAATGAGTGTACGTTTACATATTAATATCTGTAGGCCTAAGCCCCACTTACGTCCATAGACACTCAGTATTTGTTTTACAGTGTTTTAAGGTCAATTTCATCAATCTATGGTAGTATTGATCATCTGCTTAAAAAAATCCAGTAATGTGTCCTCTTGTGACAAACAGAAAGATTTCAAGGGGGGTTCTCCCCCGAGAAAATTTTGAAAATTCACACGGCGAAATCCTATTTTCATGTAATTTCATACAGAAATAGATAAATTCAAGGACTTTCAATGACCTGTGTACATTTGTGCATAAAGTCGGTGAAGATTCTCAGTCATCCAGGTCATGGTAATCATAAGTGCTATATTGTAGACAACTGAAACGCAAGCAAGTCCAGTTGCCTACGATATAGCACTTCCGATTTGTGCATAAAGAAATTCAGCAGACTCATCTAACAAAAAGGTTTTTTCATCACAAGTGTGTTTTAGTTATTCATGCAGGGCACATGGTTTCAAATCTAAATTCATCAGCAGTTTGCTTACCTTGGTACAATTCCGACCAGCAATGTATCGATGGCAGGTGACTTCCCACGCTAGCCGGATGTCCACTGGATCTGTCGCGTGCGCGATCCGGCCGAGGCACGGGTGCCGGAACTAATCGTAGCCATTCAAGTCAATGTAAGTTGCTCCACCATAGGCTTGTGCTAATATGGTTAGCATGTTGTGGGGAAAATGTGTCCGGATTAACAAGTGTTTGTCTGTTAATGCTGCGAGTTATAGTGAAGCCAAATTGTGTACTTGTGTTTGAAAGTGTCTCTATTTAGCCAAATTTAATGTGTGTTTTGAATTAATTAAACATTATAGCACTTCACAGGAACCTCCGCCACCGACTAGTGTTTTGGAGTTGTAACTGCAGAGTGACACAGACACACCAAGTAAAAATGCTCACAACGACGTAGATGTGCGTAGGCTATGTGCGTAGGGTCTACGCACAACCATAAATCCCTTTTCCCCCTTGTACCAATGATCTTGCTGGCTGTATTCACTATGCGTTGCAGTCTTCCGGTAGGAGGCTGTGCAGCCTCCGTGCCACACAGTGATGCAGCCAGTGATGACACTCTCAATGGTGCCTCTGTGGAAAGAGCACATGATGGGGGTGGTGGGACTCTTGCTCTCCTCAGTTTGCAGAGGAAGTAGAGGCGTGGTTGAGCTTTGATATGCACCCCACAGGAGCTTGGTGCTGCTCACTCTCTCCACAGCAGCACCGTCGATGGTCGGTGGGGGATGCTGTGGAATTCTTCTCCTGAAGTCAATGATAATCTCTTTGGTCTTCCCCACATCGAGGAAGAGATTGTCGTCCTTACACCACTGGACCAGTCGGCTCACCTCACTCCTGTAGTTGGCTTCATCATTGTTGGAAATGAGGCCCACCACAGTCGTGGTAGCCCAGCTTGCTGGATAGCGGAGTCCGGGATGTTGTCATTAAGCCATGTCTCCATAAAAATGAAAACACAGCAGTCCCTTACATCACGCTGAGCAGATCTCAGGAGCTGTATGTGGTCTGTTTGTTGTCAAGTAAGCATACATTGGCCATAATGAGGGATGATATCGCTGCTCTGTGTGGGCTAGCTGCTAGCCTAGCCTGGATGCCTCCGTGCTTGCCTCGCTTCTGTTTCCTTTTACACTGCTTCTAGCGCCTGATCTCTGGGTGTGACATAGCAGGCGGGTCCGGTGATGTAGTAGTCTGGCGGAGAAGGCCAGGCCCCAAAGTTCCTCTTTGACTTTCTGGTCCAAGTTGTGATGTTTTGACTTATTTCTTACATCCAGAAAGCAGTGGCGACTGTATCTTTTGAGCAACGTAGATGTTGAACGACGCACACAGACGTAAACACAAAGCACACAAACATACACTGGAACACACAATTTAAGGCACCAAACTTGGAGAGAGAGTGGCCGCTGTGTCCATCCATGCCGCCATCTTGTTAGGTAATTTGTGGTTTCTCTACAAATTTTTATAAAGAATGGGGCTTAAAGTTGTTGTACAATTCTTCTACAAAGTCTTCATTTAAACAGAGATGAATCTTTTTTTTTTCTTTTTTTTTAAAAAAAAAAACAAGCATGTCAAACCCTATTCTGTAGGGGTTGGAATCACCAGAGGCCCCGCGATACAATATTAGGCTATCACAATACTTTAGTCACGATACAATATAATTGTGATTTTAAATGTGTTCATCTTACTTTAGTCATTTTTATTGCAGCAGATATCTAGTGGACAGAAAAAGATACTGATTTTATTATTCTAGTAGGCCACCAAAAATTTAAATTTTATTTGTAATATTCATAATTTACATAATAAAAAGAATCAATACTTGGAGTCCATGTATTGATACGATATTGCCACACAAAGATATCGCAATACTGTATTGATTTTTTACCCCCATCCCGACTGTTCTGTAAATGTGTACTCTGCTGATTAAGTATTGCACTCCAATAACTAACAATGCACCATTTAAAAAAAAATGATTTAGCAGAGATATCTTTTTTTTTTTTCTCAATGGAACCTTTTAAATTGTCAAAACCTTGCGCCTACATTACCCACAATGCCACTTGACTGTCAGCTAATAAGTTTAAGACTCCAGTATGTCACAGTATCAGATTTTATGCAGCTCCCTCTGTAGCCACTTAAAGCTGTAGTTGGTAATGTTGGACAGCTAGAAAGATTTGAAAGTGGCACCTCCTCTAAGCTCCACCACCCTCCTCCCCCTCCCATCAGTGCTCTGTCCAAAGCCACGCCCCCACAAACTTGAACGCGCATCCTGCAGTACACCGACAGAGAAGCTAATGTTAGCATTAGGCTAATACCAGCTACAAAAGTTGGCTACGTTGGCTAAGTTGGCTAACGTTACATAATGCATGAAAATAACAAATCCCCCCGAAGCAAAACAAATAATTACCTGTCTAACAGAAAGACAGCAACCTCTGCATCACTTTTCAGGCCCTTCAGCTCCCTCAGTTGTCTCCATGGTTCAAAAGCTGCACCGATGTTTACTCTGGTTTGTCCTCTCGCTTTATTCAAAGCCTTTTTCGTCGCAGCCTTCTCTGCCTCCGACTTTCTTTTCTTAGCCTGTTAAGCAGGGCAAGCCGTTACAAGTAATGCTGGAAGTGGTACTTTTTGCTGCATTTTCTCTGCCATTGTTCAGCAAACTTATTCTCCTGCTAACTCGGTATTTCTGCTGAGGAGTGTGTTGAATATTTCCGGCAACGGTGACACGTGATGAGTGCACGCAGGGAGGAGGGAGGGACAGAGGGGGGCGTGGGCAGGATCAGAGCGATATATATAAGCACGAGACATGAAGGCATCTGATTGGTTCTTTCCACTCGCACCGAGAGGCAGGGATTGGTCAGAGTTTTTACAGGCCTGCAGCTGCCGCAGAGGTCGGATTTTTTTTCGTTCCTTTTTCTGAACACATTATGTATTGACTACTCTCAGGATGGAAGGACCATTTCACCCAGTATAACAAAAAGTGTTTCTGAACAGGATTACCAACTATAGCTTTAAAGGCTTTTTCACTTTTTTTTCATATATGCAGCAGTACTCCTTGAAACCTAAATGCAGGCTTTATTTTGAAGAATTTCTATTCCTGTTAAGTTACTTCAATAAGTTGTGTAGGATCTCTCGACAATGTACAGTGTGGTTTAGCATGAAATAAGGAACACTGACATGACTGAGTTGCATATCAGATCAAAATCTACAAGAGGGTACCCGCGGATCCTTAAAAAGTCTTTAATGGCATTGAATTCATTAAAGGGATCAGATTTTTTGACGTGGGGTTGTATGGGTTTCCAT